AATCTCCTCTACACATCACTGAGGCAGCCCAGGGTGGATATACAGCTGAGTGTCACAAGTATACTGATGATCTCATACCCTGTGCAGATGGATGACATCTCCCAGTGGCTTCATATCTATGTTAGAAAGGAATGGAGAGAATCAAACTATCAAACCTCCACCAAGGGCTGGGAGATCATGGCCTTCATGGCAACCATAAGCTAGTCTCAGATAATGGAGGTGGTCCTACATTAGACCTCATCTTTGCCTCAGAGTAAATGAGGTCTGATCTGAAGATGGAGAGGATTTCAGCCACTGCATTGCTATGGTCAGATCACACCCTGATTCACTTGCAACTGGACACCACTCACAATCTCCAAGGGGCAGTGGGAAGGATTCAGAAGCTCTGTCTCAAGCATCTAATGGAACCAAACTCTCTGGCAGGTGGTTCAGTTCAGTGCCTGGTAAACAGGAGGAAAGCAGTGCACTGGACTCTATTGCCCACAAGTGGACCCTTTCTGGTTGGCTGCTTGGTTTACTGAGGCCCTGCAGGAAATGAAGCACCAGAAATGATGCCTGGAGAATTGGTGGGGAAAGGCAAGAAGCAGATCCAACCTAGCATGGGGACATGCTCAGGTTCAAGCTTACACCGTGGTGATAAGGGAGTGAATTGGACTCACTTTTCCTTCCTTATTGCCTTGGTGGGATGTTGTCCAACTGCCTTGTTTGGATGACAAACTCCCTTTAAGTCATTATGGAGATCCCACGCCTGGCTGCTGTGATCAATTTGCATTGTACTGTGCCAAAAAATCAGTCAGATTTGTCCAGATGCTGATTACTCATAGAGTTTTTGATGGTAATTAAGGCATCATCTCACTGTATTACATTGGACTTGATTTGGCCTGTGACATTTGAGGAAGTGGATTGGGTATCTAGATTGTCTTTTGCCACATGTAGTTTGGATCCTTGTGAGGAGCACTTAAATTAACCACCTCCTCCTATGAGATTGATAATCCCTTTCTGCCTGAGGGATTGCTCTCGGCAGCCCTGAAGGAGGCTGTGGTGTGCCCCCTTCTGAAGAGGCCATCTCTGGATCCTGTGGCCCTCTTAACTATCATCTCCAACTTCTCCTTTTGGAGGAAGGCTGCTGAGGCAGTGGTAGCAGATCTCCTATGGAGCATCCTGGAAGACATGGGTTATTTATTTATTTGTTTATTTAACTTCTTAAACAAATGTATGTGGCTCCCCAACTCACACATGGTGACTCCAGGCGGCTTACAGAATTAAAACCCATAATGCAGAAACCAAGAACCCCACCCCCACTCCTTTGATGGCAACAAACACACTCAGACTAACCATTTGATCGGTTCCGTATCAGCCTGAATCCCTATTATCTGAATCCTTCTCCATCTAGATTCACGTCTGGATCTGGGACAGAGCGAGCTTTGTTCACTCTCCTGGATGACCTTTGCAGAGTCCTGGATGGAGATTGAGTGTTTCTCCTGGTCCTTTTGGACCTCTCCACAACTTTTGGTACTGTTGACCGCAGTGTCTTACCAGACCACCTACAGGAGATGAGGATAGGAGGGAGTCCTCCAACTGGAAGGGACCATTCCTTTCTTTATTTATAGTTTTTGAAACCTCCCCCAGCCCATTGACTCTGGGAGAAGAACAAGAACGAAACAGATAATGCAACAACATGGAACTAACAAAACCTCCCAAAATGAACCAATAAACAAGAAACTAGGGCTTAAAGCAGGAGGGAACCAGCTTGTTTGAACTGTTTTATGAAATAACAAGAGGAAGGGCACCTTATGGACCTTTGAGGAAGTGAATTCCAAAGCAGAAGGGCCACTGCATAGGCCTACCATTAAGCCTTAAGCCAGTGCTTCTCAACACTGGCAACTTGAAGACATGTGGACTTCAACTCCCAGAATTCCTCAGCCAGCCATGTTGGCTGGAGAATTCTGGGAGTTGAAGTCCACACGTCTTCAAATTCCCAAGGTTGAGAAACAATGCCCAAAGCCTACACCATGCACACTTCTTGCAGGAAGAAACTCTCAAGATGTTTGTAGTGGACAAGCAGATTCAGTCCTGGCAAGGCAGTTCATCATGTAGCCAGTACTACAATGTCTAAGACTTTATAGACAAAAAAGAATATTTTGTACTGAGCCAGAAACCTATTGTTAACCAGAGCAGGGGCTTCAAGAGAGGTGTTATCCTGCACTGGTGGGGTTGTTCTTTCAGGGGGCAGATGGATTCAGTCAGGGATGGGCATCTTCCTTTGCAGCCCAAGGGCTGAACCTGGACTCAAGGCAGCAATGGAATTAACATCCAGATGAGATGAGACTACTGTATAGAGCTGCGTTGATGACTTTTCAGAAACATACATTTTTCTCACTGTGCCTCTGCTCAGGATGTCACAGTGGGATTCAGAGTCTGGCAGAGATGATGCTTGTTTTCCTTATAATTCCCAACCGCATCATCCTTTTTTGATGGTGGTGATGATGGTTGTCTGTTTGTTCTGCTTGTTCACTCTCCAGGGGTTGTCCAACCATTGATTTTCATGGTGACTGAAGAGCAACAGGAGGCAAAATCTTGCATCAGAACATTTGGCTCTATAAAATAACACAAAGAATCTGGGCAGACAACAGATGGGCCACTGTTGTGATACCTTCAGTTATGAAGGTTAGAAAAGCCACTGGAACTTCAGTGTTCTGAGAGCTTTGGGGGGTTTAGGGATTCTTCTCGGGTTCAAGAAAAGCAACCACAGTATATGAATCAGGTATGCCCAGAAATGCATTTCTTCTTATGCTCTTACTATGGCTTCTCATGCCCCATACAGTCAATGGAATGCACAAAGCCAAATGCTCCCTGAGTTTGGGGAAGGATGAATTAGACCCACGGAATCATTACAGGCCAGGAAGTCATCTGTTAAGCGGTGTCATCTCTGCAGCAGAAACTAAGCATCTACCTTTCAGCTTCCACAACTTTCCCACTGCTAAAGTTTCCAAGTAAGTCACTGGGTGCTTGAAGGTATTAAGACCTCTTCACTCCTTGCCAATTTCCAAAACAGCAGTGCTCCTTAACTACTAGCAACTGTCCTTTTTCAGGGAATTGAATGAAGAATTGTCCTGTTTTATCTCTGTGGGACGTCATTAGGGATTCTTTTTATAGATTGTAGCTGATGAAGCTGATGCTGACGTGTAAACTTCAGTGAGATGATAAAAGTCACAAGATCGTCCTGCCATCATTTTAATCAGCAGAAGAAAATCCTTTCTCCATCACATCAGTAGTCAGGCATTGTGGCTGAAGGGTCAAGGCATGGCTTTTCCATTCCCCACCCACACCCCCCACACCCCACAACCCACACCCCACACCCCACACCCCACCATAATTATCACCTAAGATGGTATGAGTAGCTTGAAAAACAGGAGCAATAAAGTATGGTTGAAAGGGGAAGATGGGAGAAGGAGATGAAGGGAAGGTAATGGGACATTAAGGTAGAGCAGATGTCTTCTCTCTTGCCCCAAAGCATGGCTGAACCCAATGGATGTACATTTCAAGAAAGCCATTAGAAACACCAGAAGGAATTTCCAGATGCAAGAGTCATTGATGTTCTTAGAGGAACAGATCATAGAGGAAGAGGGAAAGACAACAAATGAAGTCCCAAGAACGTTCTCAGAACACATTTGTGCAATTCTTTCCTTCTCATTTAGCACAAGTAAGACCCGTTGCCTCACCTCCTTGGAAAAAGAAACAAATCAGGTCCCAAGAACATTCTTTGATTTACAACAAACTTTGGGCATTTCTTTCCTTTCCTTTCCTTCCCACAAACTCATTTCCTCAACCCTTCGGGGGGAAAAATGAAGAAGTGTTCCAATTCCAATGTGACCAAGGAGACAAAGTTCTTGATTGCTCCTTTTATTTGGCATAACCCCTGGAAGGGCTGCATGTGTCCAAGTCCAACACAATTTTGGGAGTCTTGTAGTTAGGGTCATTTAATTTATTTAGGTCATGTGGTATGAATATATCAGAATTCTGGGTTTTATGTGCTTGTAATACAATTGCAATGAAACAGGAATGCTTCAATTGCTTTTTCTTTACTGCTTCAAGAATTTCAGAGTCTGGTCATTTCCCCAGATAACTTGAATCATTAGGCAAATCATCCTTAGCTGGAAACGGTCACCAATTTTAGCTTAGCTCTGAAGGGGAAGGGGGCATTTTAAAAAATGGAAGAGAGATAATAACGTTCTTGATGGTGATATTATATGCATCTATTGACAGGAAAGAATACAAACAATACTGGAAAATTCTGTCCTTCCTTTTTGCCATTCAGGAGATCAACCAGGATCCCCATCTCTTACCCAACCTCACCCTGGGATACACTATTAATGACAATTTTTTCAAGGAAAGAATCACCTCAGATGCCTTACTAGACCTGCTTTCAACTGGGGAGGCCAATGTTCCAAACTATAACTGTGGAAAGCAGAAAAATATACTGGCTGTCCTTGAAGGGGGTGAAGTTGACATTTCCACCCAGATTTCAACCATATTGAGCCACTACAAAATCCCTCAGGTGTGCCTCTGTGTATGTTTGTGCATGGCAGCTTCTCAGGTCAATTCCACTCATGGTTTTCTCTAAAGAAATTCAAGGGTGGTTTCCATCTAAAAGTGGCAGTCAATGGTGAAGGATGAAATGGTGAAAGCAGCCACTTCCCTCATCATCAAGATCCCAGTCTACCTTAGGGGCCAGTGCTGGGTATGTTTGAAGGAAAAGTCCTATAGTCACTTATAGCTGGGTGTGAGTACTCCTGTAGGAAAGCAAATTGTGTGTGAAGGCAGTTCCTTGCAAAGGTGGAATGAAGATGTCTAACCTGGATCGTAAGGATAGACATATTGATTCCAAATATTGGAGCAGATGTGATTTGATCCAAAATTCTTTCTTTTCTTTTCAGGTCAGTTATGCTTTTGCTTCACACGTTCTGAGTGATAAAAAACGTTTTCCTTTTTTCTACCGAATGCTCCCCAGGGAAGGCACCCAATATCCAGGGATCGTCAAACTTCTCTTGCATTTTAGGTGGATGTTGATAGGACTCATTGCTCCAACCACTGAGAACGGAGAGAGGTTCACAAGAACATTGACTCCTATGCTTACAAAGAACAGCATTTGTGTTGCTTTTTCGTTAGGAACCTCCTTTTCTTTGAAGGACTTTGAGAAGATTATTGACCAGTTGGACAAATGGAGAAACGTCAATGTTTTGGTTTGTTACGTAAAAGCAAATTTCTTCCTAGGACAAATATTCTTCCTTCAAGTGATGATGCAAACGTTTATAGAACCCAAGGCTGACAAAGTCTGGATCACCACAGCTTTGTGGGATTTTACCCTGGAGTTGAAGTCTCTACAGTATATCTCCTCCCTCTATGGTTTTTTATCCTTTCTAGTCCACAGGGATAAGTGGGCAATAGATGCCAATTTTCCACTCCTTTACTCTTTGATTCTGAACTTTGTAGATGAAGGGTTTCATTGTTCATACTCAAAGCCAGTTGGGTCTGTGAAAGGATGGACAAGGTGCTGTGAAAAAGAAGATTTGAGGATCCCTTCCCCAAAAGAGCATGAAAAAATTTTGTCACTTGATGGTTATCACATTTACACCAGCCTCTGGGCTGTGGCACATGCCATAAACACAGCGTATTCCTCCAGATCCACCAGGCGTGTGAGGAACAGGAGCTATCAGTTGGAAGGTCAAATGCTTCAGCCTTGGCAGGTATTCTCTATTCTACCACTTCTCTAAATGAGAATCAGAGCTATAGTTCCTTATCATGAACAACTTTCTCTCAGAATTAGTTTATTTTGATCATGCTAAAAATGCAACAGAGAGATTAAATGTTATGAGATGCATCCTATTGAAAAATGCTTTGTATTGGTTCTGCTGTCTGCAGTCTTAGTAGGACTAAAGGACACCAGTGGTGGGATCCAAATATAGTGATGAAATCAGTGTCTACTTGATCCTTTTAATGATATTCCAAATGCATTACACAGAGTAGCCAGTCTTGAGATTGAGCCCAGAAAATTTTTCTCAGAGCACAAGTTTGCACACATGTAAAGGCTTTAACTTCCACACCTCTAAGAAAGTGAAGAAGTCAAGTCCCTTCGAATTGAACTCGACTTCTAGTGATTTCATGGAGTGGTTCCTACAGGTTTCTTGGTGACAGTCAGGAAGAGGCTTACTATTATCTGTTTCTGGGAATATAATTTCCAATCATCATATTTTCAATTCCTAATCAGGCCCAACTCTGCTTAACTTCTAAGCTTAAACCAAGTCAATCCAAACTTCTAAAAGCAAAAAAAAAAAAATTAAAAAATTGCATAAAAACATTCAGAAACAGAAAGAGCCAGGAGACATTCTAAAAAGTCACTCACAGCTACTCATGTTGGAATGAATTCTGCACCATAAGGGATCAGTGGATAAAAGGGCCAACTTGTCACATTGTTCCTGTGTATCCTGCAGTTTTTTCTTCTCTCCCCTTCTAGCTCCACCCGTTCCTGCAAAGCCCTCAGTTTCACAATGTTTCCATGGATGGGGTATATTTGGATGAAAACAGAGAGCTGGCAGCTGACTTTGACATCATGAGTTGGATTGTGTTCCCGAACAAGTCCATTGTCAGAGTGAAACTGGGGGATCTAGAAAGGCAGGGAACCCCAGACCTCAAGTTTACTCTTGATCAGGATGGTTTTGCAAAACTGATTTGGCTCAAGAAGGTAGGAACAATGGATTTGTTTCATTTCACAGACTCCAAAGCTTTTCAGTTCTGTAATAAACTCTCTGTGCCTCTGAGTGCCTGGGGATTGCACAGAATTGTTGATCTTCAAGAGAGAGGACTTTTCCCCCAGCTCTTCTAGTAAACTGTGCAGAATAAATATGATATTCACAGGAAGGCTACCTTTGGTCCTTAAATTGTTACTTCATCAGAAAAGCACCAGCAGGTTTCCTGGAAGTTCATGTATCACAAATGGAGAGAGGACTTTGCTCCTAAAGAATCTGAACTCTAAAATCAGTACTAAGGAACATCAAACACAAGAAAGCAAATGAAGGGAGACAAGAAACAAGAAGCAATATGCATGTCATGATGAGGGTTTAAGGTCCATTAGAGGTTTCAAATCTGAATCAGAAAATCCAAGAGGTGAAGGGGGCTATTGAGGCTCTCCAGCTGCTACTCAGTCCTGGAATCCAAATGAGTACATCCCACCCTCTAAATTTGCAAGTGGTTCCAACATAATTCAGGTTCAGTCCAAAGCAGGAGATTGACTTTAATCATTAGTATTTTTTTTCTTCTCTTTCCATTTTTTGGAGGGGAGGCAGGTCCTTCCAGTCAGTGCTGGCTCCTGGCAACTACCTGGACAAGTCCCTGCAGTTTTCTTGGCATGATTTCAGAAGTGGTTCTTCCTAGAGCTGAGAGAGAGGGGCTGGCCCAAGACCACCCAACTGCCTTCGTGCCTAAGGCAGTACTAGAACTCATGATCACCCACTTTCTAGCTGGTGCCTTAACCACTACACCAAAGTGGCTCTCTTTCTCTTTCCATAGGTTCTTCTTAACATGTTTTTTTCTTGGTCTTCCTTCTTTCTTTGCATAGCCCCTCCCTCCTTCCAGGTGTGTGGAAAGTTGTCAACCTGGATTCGCCAAGGCAGCTCAGGAAGGAGAACCTGTCTGCTGCTACCTCTGCCTTCCTTGTGCAGAAGGAACCATCTCCACTAAGGAAGGTGGGTGAAAGCACCTTTTGCCCAGGTATTGTCCATGGAAGGCTTCTGGAAAGGCATTTGTAATCTTAGCTCTTTCAGAGTAAGTACAGTACAGTACATATGTCATTGCCACCATGTCCATTGTGTGTGTCATGATCTCGTGCTACAAATGATGCAAGAGATTGTATCTTTTGTGTCACCATCTGTGATGGAATGTGAGAATGACCCTGGAAGACAGGGAGAAGAGATGCTACCTACAGAATGATCAGATAAAAGGGGGAGGAGCTGGCAATTGAGTAACGGGCAGAGAAAGAAACTTAGAAAGGATCCACCCTAACTCGTCAGGCAGTAAAAAGAGACAGCAGGAGATTTGTACTTTCAGAGTTGCAAAATTAATGTCAGCCCTCCCAGGTAAACCAGACAGGAAACAAGACCAGATGAGCTAATTCTGTTAGGGAATTTTCTCTGCCCATTACACAGTTGTGGGCTCCTCCCACTTTTATCTGATCGTTCCCTAGGCAGCATCTCTTCCCCTGTCTTCCGAGGTCATTCTCACATTCCATTACAGTATCAGATGACATAAGACAATTTAGACAAATGATGTATTATGGGATGGTTTGCTTCTTTTAGTTCCATCCTGGAGGGACTTGTTTTATTAATATTTAACTAATATTGTTTTCACCCAATCTGGACAATCTGGGGTCCAATTTACTTGCCATTTAGTAAACTTCTAAACTAGAACTTTTTCTGAATCTCCCTTATAGCTGGCAAGGGTTGTTTGTTTGTTTGTTTGTTTGTTGCTTTTTTGTTTTTGTTTCTGTTTTTTTGTGACTATGGAACATCCCCATCCATTTCAGCCACTTCAACTGTGCAAGGAGAATTATGGAACTTGCTCTAGTGCAAGCAGGACATCTGCTCAGGGACATCACCCACTTTCCATCCCACTGATATTGTCCCATTGGGAGAATTATTCATTCTTGCCTAAACCATTTCTAATGTTAATTTTTATTTTACTATTTTGAGGGTGTCTGCTCTAAGCCAAACAAGGGTAAGCAGTAAAGGGTATATTCTGCTTGTTGTTGTTGTTTTCAGATGCAGAAAAATGTGCCAAGTGTCCAGAAGATCAGTATCCAAATCAGGAACAAACCCAATGTATCCTCAAGGTCATCACTTTCCTGTCCTATGAAGAAACGTTGGGGGTCATTCTGGTTTCCTTTATCCTATTCTTGTCCTTCATAACCAGTGTGGTATTAGCCATCTTCATTAAACATCTAGAAACTCCAATAGTTAAGGCCAATAACCGCGACCTCTCCTATATTCTCCTCTTGTCCCTCCTTTTTTCCTTCTTAACCTCCTTCCTTTTCATTGGTCCTCCAAGGAAAGCAACTTGCCTTCTCCGACAATCAGCCTTCAGCGTCATCTTCTCGATTGCTGTCTCTTGTGTCTTGGCCAAAACAATCATGGTGGTGCTGGCCTTCTTGGCTACAAAACCAGGAAACAGAATGAGGAGATGGCTGGGGAAGAGCTTGGCCAATTCCATCATTCTTTCTTGTTCCAGTGTCCAAGCTGCCATATGTAGTTTCTGGCTGTGGAATTCTCCACCCTTCCTTGACTCTGATATGCACTCACAATCTGGAGAGATCATCCTGCAATGTAATGAAGGGTCTGATGCCATGTTTTATGTTGCTCTTGGCTACATAGGTTTCCTGGCTGCTGTCTGTTTTACGGTGGCTTTCCTGGCCAGGAACCTCCCTGGGGCCTTCAACGAAGCCAAGCTGATCACCTTCAGCATGCTGGTCTTCTGCAGCGTCTGGGTCTCCTTTGTGCCCACCTACCTGAGCACCAAAGGGAAGTACATGGTGGCCGTGCAGGTCTTCTCTATCTTGGCCTCCAGCGCTGGCCTGCTGGCATGCATCTTCATCCCCAAGTGCTACATTATTTTACTAAGACCAGATTTGAATACAAAGGAGCAGCTAATGATAAAAGTAAAATAGAGAAAGTGCTTCCTATTCATCCTTTTTTCAAGGAGAGACACCTGCCACCTCTTTGTACCTCCCACATGCCTCCCTTGGGCATTTCTGTTCTGCTCAAGGACCATCTATCCATGGCTGAATCCACAGCATGGAAAGCACCATAACTTCCCTTGTGTTGATCCGGTATCTCATTTCAGTTATTATCCACCCAGTTTAAGATGCAATTTATTTAACTAAGTTTACCCTCAACAGGGCACATCTCATGAACTTTGCACAGTGGGATTGATAAAGGATATTAGAATATCCAGAGCTCAGATACTTTGGTCACCTAATGCGAAGAGAGGACTCTTTGGAGAAGACCCTGATGCTGGGAAGG